ACACCCTGTCCTTTGTCAAGATCTTGTTTTGAATTACCACGTTGTAGGCTAGTCCTTACCCATCTCAGGCATGTTGGGCTTCTACGTGGTCAGCTGGATAAGTTGGACAAGGAGTATGACGCATGCAATCATTGCATGGCCACCGGAGAGGTCAACGGATTCAATGACGCGTTACTTAACTTATATAACTCACACAAACCCTGTGGTCTTGTTGCAGTGACTGAGCACATGTTTCAACCCGAAAAGCTGATCTGCAAAAAGCGGGTGAGCGGGCAATAACAACATGAGGTTCGTCAATGATGCCACTGCCAAGATGAAGTCTGCGACCTTTGTGTTTCTTGGAAGAAATCTTTGTCGATCGACTGGCCCAACCCAAAGTAAACATTTGCCATGTCTCTTCTTCATACTCGTGTTGAGGTGCAGTGCGGCTTGCGCTGTGGAGATGAAAACCCGGTGCCTTGGTGATCAATGAGCTTTCTTCCATCCGGCCTCAGTTCAAGACTTCAAGGAACAAAAATGCAATCACATCAGTGCTTTTCTTTTTAATACAGCCCATGTGTATGACTGGAACGCTCTTGACCACCTTTGGCCACAAGTCAGGAATGCCAAGCGGTATGAGAAAGCTGATTCAAAGGATTCCAAGGGCAAGACACGGGAGGCGGGTGCAGAGGCCAATGAGAAGGACAGCAGGAAACGCCCATCAGCCTCGAAGGCTGCTAAGGCTGCGGCGGCCGTGGCTGATTCCAAGGGTGGTGCACCTGCCAGAAAGGTGGCACGCAAGAAGTGAACAATATGCCTTGCACCAATGCCACATGTGGGAAACCTACCTATATAGTGTGGGATAGACCCTGCAGTGGCTATTTGATGCTTTTTGGGTGTGTTTGATGTCTCCACTGTCATGTTCAATGAGTAGTTTGTTCATGGCTTCTGCATATACGACATATAATAGCTTATCAATTTATGTCACTGTGTGTTCTGTATCTGTAGTGGAGTCCTTGGACTGGACACATCAGTTTAAGATCAATAACAGTCAGTGCCAGGGGCAAATGGCACGGAGCAGCGTCGATGAAAACAACATGTTGCAGCGACGCAGGGGTCATATGCATCTGTACAACTTGAGAAGGTGTGCGCTCGTTGCATGGTTTCTTTTCCCGCTGCACCGCACATGGGCCAGGTCCCGGACAAGCTCTTCGTACTGTAGCCGGGGACATTGGCGAAGGAGCGCAGGCCTCAATCAGCCAGCCCAAATGAGACAGAGTGGCGCACAATCTCTCTCTTGCGCAAATAAAAACAGCATGGCCGATATTGCATGCTTGCAGCCCTGTTATTCAACTGTTCAACTTATATGCATGCAGGTCTTGACGTATATAGTTTCGATCACGCACACTTCTAAACATCAATGCAGCCACAAACCAAGCCTTTAAATGTCTGACAATTGGGAGCGCCGGTCGGTCATGATGAGCAATGGCCCTATGATGCATGATGAAACCATGGAAGAGGAGCTCATTGATCTTTTAAGTTGTCATCGCCCTGACTCTTGTCAAAAGTTCTTTACTCGCAATGCCTTTGTAACCTGTTTTGTATGCATGGGTGTGCCATATGCAAGGAAGATGGAACGCCTTATGCTTGGCGCTACTCTTTCGGGCCTACGACTCTGGTCAAACAAACAGAATGCCCAACAGAATCTGGTATGGGGTTTTCAAAACAAGAGCAAGGGACCCAACACCGAACATCTTCTTTGCCCTCCGATGCTTTCCTGGAATCCCGCCTTCAAAGCATGTCTGCCGAAGCAGAGCGCATAGGCTGCATAGCTTTGAAATTGCCAAAGTCTACGGTTACAGCAGGTCGAATTCTTCAACACGCTGTGAATGTGATAGAAGGCTTGTTCAGCAAGTATGATCCTATGATCTTCAAAATTGGCTTTACTCACAACCCGGCTTGGCGGTGGGAGAACAAAGTGTATGGGTACATGCACTCACAGGATAAGTGGTCTAACATGACTGTGCTCTATGGGAGCATGGAGCCCTATGGTCCAGCTATGTTGGAGGCAGCACTCATCGAGAAGTATGAAGGTCCCTGGAAGAAAAGCCAAGTTGTGCAATGCTTTGAGGGTATTTGTAAAGACACTTAAAGACACCTGAACACACCACGTTATGAAAAAAAACTTGTCTTTTTCGTCTCCCCAGGTAGACCAGGGTGCAGAAATCAACGCAAAGGAGGTGATACAGTGAACAAGTCGTTGGAAGGTGCTTTCTTTTGTTATGTAGTGCACAGGTCTTTCAAATTTAAACCACATTGATGTTGTGACAGCTATATCACAAAATGGCTGCGCAGTGTGGATAATTAATGTGCAACACCATGGTGCGTAAAGCAATGCATAGCTGCATCGCACATGGTCGCATCAAGGTGTCGGGGCGCTGGATGCCTGGACTCACCAAAACTTTCCTAATTGCCTTTCTGCACGGACGCGTGTGAGCGCATACGCTGAAAACATTGAGAGCGTACTGCCAGCATTCCTTGTGTTCTTGACTAGTGAGTAACCTGTGACTGATGGAAATGACAAATGAGTTTTGCGTATGAGCTTTGTACCAAAACGAGTGTTTGCACGCTTACTACCAAGCAGCTTTCGCCAAGGCCACCTCCTGCAGGGCGGCCATTCGGATGGCAAGAGGCGTGACAAATGACATAGGAGAGCCAGCCGCAAAAAAGTCAAGAGGCCTGGCGGAGCTTGCCAAGTGCAGCTTGCACCATTCTGAGAGGGATGTCCACACGTTAGTGTCCAAGAAGCTGTCGATGTCCATAGACTTGGAGCTGCATACCATCGAGAAGCGGCCGGGTATGCGGTACACAGGAGAGCTCAAAGCCTTAAGTCTGAAGGATTGGTTTGGATACATGCTGCGATACAATATCCACCACATCCTTGTGGGTTTGGAGGCCCCGGACGCAGAGCGAGAGTCTTCTATCTTGAAGGCCTTCTGGTCTCACTACCGGCAGTTGGAGCCCACACATCAGATGTGGGAGAAAGTGGACGCTGGAGAGCTTCCTTTGGAACGCACATATCCTCTCTTGCTGCACGGCGACGAAGGCCGTGGCAGGAAGCGGCAGGCCTTCCTTGTCATCGCCTGGTCTTCGCTGATGGGTAGCGGGACCTCGTTGGCCAACGCTACAAGGCAAAATCGCCCCTACATTCGAATGCGGCTGAATTACACCGGGTCTACCTGGTCACACCGTCTTTTGACTTGTGTACTACCCAAGATGTTCAAGGACGAGATCGGCTTCGAGTGTGTTATGAACTTTGTCAAAGACGACGCTGCTTCCATGTTCAATGAAGGTGTTTGCCACAACGGCTTGCAGTATCACTCCGTTTGCATAGCAGTGACAGGGGACTGGGCGTGGCTTGTGAAAAGTGCAAACTTGGGCAGATCATTCCATAACTGCGAGAAACGACCAAAGTCGGCATCCTCGGTCCCCAAGGGGATTTGCCATTGGTGCGCTGCAGGGAAGGATGGCTACCCGTGGGAGGACATGTCTTTGACTCCAGCATGGCTGCAAACCCTTTTTGGAGACAATCCATTCTTGCGTCGCCCTCAGCTGTTGGAACTTCCACATTGCCCTGAGAAACCCCAGGCATTCTATGCTTGGGATATATGGCATGGATTCCATCTTGGCTTGGGCAAGGTATGGGCAGCTACCTGTCTTTGCATCATGAGTGATGCCATGACGGCTTCAAGCGTGGACGAACGCTTTGAGCAGATCACTGCTCTGTATATTACCTGGTTGGATGATCACAAAACCTCAGGGTTTTTGAACTCGATCACGAAGGAAGGTTGCGGTTGGCCAGACCGGGGTACCTTCCCGAACGGCCAGTGGAGCAAAGGCCATATTACATTGACGCTCATCAGGTTCTTCTTGTCATGGACAGAAACTTTGCGCCTTGTGGAGGGTTCTCTCTTGAAGTCTTGTGAAGGGGGCTGCAAGTTGATCAATGAAGCTTTCCACATCCTTTATTCCAATGATTTGTGGCTGGCGCCCAATGTTGCGATGCAGGCCGCTTCATGTGGACTTCGTTTCTTACAGATGTTTCAGGATTTAGCGAAGAGGTGCTATGATGAGGGACAAGCTTTTTTTTGCTACATGCCCAAGAGTCATTTGGTGGCTCATGTTTGGCATCAGTTGCGACATGACGCGAGTCGTGGTGTTTGGAGCCTCAACCCACTGTGCATGGCTGTGCAGTGCTCCGAAGATTACATCGGAAAGGTTTCGCGCCTTTCACGGAGAGTCAGTCCGACTCAGGTGGTCGTCCGAACTTTGGAGAGATCATTGAATGCAACCTTCAAGCATTGGGTGGATCGTGGATGGATCAAACCGCAGTAAAAAGGCGTTGACTTGAGTGATTGCACTTTGGGAGGGGGATGTGTTGTGGAATGAAGGGATTGAAGACTCATGAAGCATTTTGTGATATTTGGTGAAATCATCAAAATCCTTGAAAATCAAGAATCCGGTTCTTCCCTGCAAAACCCGGTTTTCCCCACTGACCCTACAATTTTCAAGGGTCTTGGTTCCGCTGGTATGAATGTTTTCAGGTACAACAGTTTGTGGGCCACCTCCTGAGCTGAAGGATACTCTTTTGGAAATTCTGTTCACCAAACACAAGCTTTGTTTTCCGCCAAACCTTCATCCATCGCCATGAACGCTCACCCTGCCAGCGGGCACAACTGTGCCTCCGGTATGTTTCCGGCAAAAAAGTTTGTTGCAACTGGATCGAAAGAAGTGTGAACTCACTCTCCTGCAGCCAAATTCAAGAGGCTCTGTGCGATCAATTACACGCCTTTTTAACAGATTGTCCAATGCTATTTTCAAACTTATATCGCAAATTGTCAGATTCAAGGGGAAGAACACAAAGATCACCCAAGGGCGGTAGGAATAAAAACCCCTGATGACTCGGCCTAATCCCCTGATGAATCGGCCCAACAGAACCTGGCAGCCTGTGCAACTCTGAGGATGAGCTGGCAGATCCTGGGCATCCGAACCAGCGCTTCGCGTGGAACGGCCCGACCGAGGTGCAAACTCGAGTATGGCTATAGCATCATATTAAGCTTGGAACCGGGTTGGCCATGCTTGGGCGTGTTGCTCGGACCCTGGCCCCTTTTGCGCTACTATAAGGATTTATATAAGGTGAAGCCCCAGTGCCAAGACGGTGGCTGGACATGAGATGGCAGTAGCATGCAGTCGCGCTATATAAGGTGAAACCCTCGGCAGGACGGGACCAAGCCAACACAGAGGGAACGACTCGGGGTCGCCTCCCCCCGAAAGCTCAGGGGGGCCACCGACGGAGTGGCCACGGAAGGTGCTGACGGTTTCACTTCGGGTTAGTTTCCGGACGGGAGAAAGAAGCCAAAAGAGATGCCTTGTTTGACGGGTGAGTCCAGTCCAGGAAGTCGTGACCTTCGAAGTAGATTCCGGAGAGTCTGACTCAGTCTACTGGATTCATTTTGCGGCACCGATGTGATTCACTGGCCATTTCTCAGACTGTTTGAGGCCCACTGGTCAGCTTGGTGGGGTGGGGACAGTTTGTCTCCTTAGGTCCATCGACCGCCCAAAGCTCCTGTTTTTTCTCCATCCTTTCACACCATCTTCCCATAAGTCCCAAGGAATTGCTGGTGCAGAAGCTGGGCTCGGCACTGCCGGCCAGCTGGGCCGCCGTGAAGTCTGGGCCCCAGCACCGTTCTCGGCCCCCAAGGGAAGTGGTGAAAAGCGGAGGCCTCCCGAGAACCCAACATACCTGGACCCTCCTGTCGGGGTGTCCTGGCTGGACTACCCCGCACTACCTATAGGCTTCCAGACAGGGCACCCCTTTGTGACTGCTGGTGTACATTGTTACATGGGAAGTCCCATGGAGCATGATTTGAATGGAAGATGATCGGAGGTTGGCGGGCGGAAACCCGGTGGGATGATCGGAGGTTGTTGACGACCAAGCGGGACCAACAACTGGCCATGTTATTTTGATAGGGTTGCTTGGGTGAGGCATTCAAAGGCACTTGGCATCACCGACTTGTTATGTTGCCTCCAAGAATCTCTTCCTCGTCTCCCAAGTCCATTGGAATCCTTTTGACGATCGGCAGCTCGCTTTCACCTATATACAAATCAGACCTTTGGGTGAAGACGGTGAAAGATATGAAAGCTACCATCTTGCAGGGTGTTCCCGCACATTTCCGCACCAAGAACGCGCTCTTGAGACATGGCTGTGGGTCATGGTACCAAGATCTACCTTGGTTGGGAGGTCTTGCTACGCTTGCCGGGATCCAAGTGGGTCACGACCCACCTTCCATGGTTCTGCGTTCTCAGGGGCACGAGCTTGTCGGTGCGGAAGGCGGGTCACGCGGCCGGGGTTTTGTTCCCCGCCGCGTGACATTTGGGTGCCATTTGGGTTCGGAGAAGACGAAGAGAGGTGAAGAGAGATGAAGAGAGTGTGAGAAGCTGGAGGTGTCTTTTTCCATCAGACAAAGGTTCTCCCTGCGGCCCTGGCTGGGTTGGCGGGTTGACTGGTCTTCCTGAACCCGTTTCCACTGGGTCCGTTATCTCCGGTAGCCTGGTCTAAGGACAGGTGTGACTGGTCCCCCCATAGGTCCGCTCGCCGCTCCATGGGAGGCCGCAAGAAGTGAAGTCATCGAGTTAGACAGTTAGACCTAGAACCGACCTCTATTTTGGACCACCAACCACCAACCACCCAATATATGTGTTAAGTTCTTCCCGATCCAAAGCAGGGGTCATGTTTGGGCTCTTGGGCGGTACAATTCCAAGCCTCCCGGACCCCATTTGATGTTGCGCCGTGGCGCGAGGAGCTCATTAGCGATGAGGAGGTGATCAAGCGGATGCAAGAGATGGTGGATCACACTTTCAAGACATGGGGAGGCGGGCCGCGATGGGGAACATGTATATATAGAAGTCCATCGACAGTCGAAAAACGTACTACCCTTTTTGTCCTGCACGCATGAACTTCAGTGGAACAACCTCATTTTCATTGGTTTACTGTAAGTCAGGTCCACCGAGCTCCCATTCTCCGAAAACTCCTCTCAGACCTCCGCGCGGCGCGACATCCGCGCTTCACAGCAAGATCAGGTACTGCCAAGACCCGGGATCGGCGCAAGAAGTTGGTGACCAGCATCAAGGCGAGACACCTGACCCGTGGCGAGACCACGTCGGTCAAGGAAACACCGGTCCTGGTGCCGAACAATTGGCCACAGCTTGCTGTATGGCTCAATATAAGCCTGCAAGAGGTGAAGTGGACTTAAGTTGAAGTGAAGGATTGGTAAATACATCTATAGTATGATTACACAATAATGTGATTGACCATCAGCTGCTGACGTTTTCTGTCTCAACAAGATCGGCTTTTTGCATATAAGCATCCCTTGACAGAGTCCATGCATGTTTGGACGAAGATCTGTTCCAGGGTTGCTTGGCAGACAGATCAATATAAAAACATAATCATTGTGGGGAGGTCTACTACAAACTCTTAAAGAAAGAAAACAGTGTAACACTCAAGGAGACAGAAGTACTCAAGGAGTCTGAAAGTCTTGAACATGACCTCTTCCAGCTCAATGTTCAGAGGGTGACCTGCATCTCAGTCACTCCATCCCCAAGAGGAATATCGTGTAAAATAAAGGTCATACTTTCCGTTAGTAGTGGCACCTGCCCCAACCTACTATCTAAAAACTGATGTGGTGAACTTCTCATGGCCACTTACCACCCACTACCTCTCCCCCAGCCGAAGAACGGCCTCTCATTGCGCTGCCTCGCCCGCTTCATGGCGCTAGAGCTTGTGCCGCTCCCCGCGGAGCATGAGCTCCCAGCTGCCGTGATGATGGCCGACGCCTTTGCCGACCGCCCCAACGCGGGGACCGGCACGCGGCCGACGACCGGGACCGTGATGTTCCTCCGTTCCTCAGGTGGTTTCCACCTCAGCACTTGGTGCAACATGTTTGGGATCATCAATCAACCCATCTTGGAGTTGGTCATCTCTCTCCACCTTTTTTCAGATCTTGAGAAGGCTCACGGAGTTGAAATGAGTTGAAGCTTTGGTAAGCTTTTGTGGCTGGCTGCTTCGTGAATGAGGAAGTGACCCCAAAAGTCAAGTCCTCATACCAGTTTTGTACACTGCTTAAGCAGCCGTTCCACACAGAAGCCAGTCCTCGTTTCTCGTCTTTGGTTTCGATTGAAGGGTCAACGTCCACCCGTTCCTCCGGACGGTTTTGGGATTCGTTCGGATCAGAGGCGTGGCGCGCCATCTGTGGTAGTGAGAATCACCCCTCCTTCCGGCGGCAGATGCTCCAATGGCTCTTCGAAACCTGGGCGATGCGAAAGGCGATCTGTGCGTCAGTGGACAAGCGTCAGTGCGTCAGTACAACACGAAAAGGAATCATTTCGACCAGGAGAGATCACGTCGTTGCGAGGTGATGGACCGACGCTGCACGCCCACGACGTGTTTCAGACAGAGATTTCAGTCATTCAAATCATGTAGCCATGCATGTAGCCATTCTAAAAGTGGACGATGACATGCGATGACCGTGTTTCATTCAAAGACAGCCCGAACATGTGATAATAAAAAAACACTGGGCAACTTTCAACATATTTAAAGAGATTCGTTTCCCCACTCAGCAAGAGTGTCCGCAGTGCTACCGGCGACCAGAGCCGGTACAGGGAGTGGCAGAACAGATGGAAAAAAGGATGGTTAACAGGTTGACCCTTACTTTCCAGTGATCACGGCTTGGGAGTCAGTGCATGTCTTAGTCTTGAAACATGATTCCCCAAAGACACCATTCGAATACGCCTTCTTCGGCCGCATGGCGTGATGCAACCGAGGAACGAAACCTTTGGCTCCGGCGAAGCGCTGGCTGCAACCGAGCAGTTCTCATGGAGGGCCAGCTAGCATGCACCTTCATGTTCGTGGCGCCGGACAGAGCGGGTGGAGATGGGTCACACACGTAACAAGATCTCGCAGAGAGTTGGGCGAACATTGCCAGGTACGGCAATGAAGGGCTTGAACAACAGAGCACCGGTGCAGTTAAACAGTTCAGACCTGCACCCCAAGACGTCTGGGGCCGGGCCTCAGGGTGCACCGGCCTCGAAGGCGGCCGGAAGGGATGTTGGACATTCGGGGACCCAGGGTGAGACATTGTGTTACAGAGCAGCTTCTTACCATACTAAGATCTTGCTTCTCCTCTCAGTGTCTTGGAGGTCTTGGAGTGTGCTCAAAGTCTTTCGACACACTGAAAGCTGTGAGCTCAACGGCCAAGCAACAATCACCGGGCACCTCCATCCGTACCACGCAGCCTTGAATCCGCAGGAGACCCCAGATGTTGGCTTCTGCCAGATGCTGCAGGCAGGCCTACTGAAGCCAGGTTTTGCTGATCGTTTCCCCTTTAGTTGAGTTCGTTTCTAGCAGTTGTCCAATACAATAACATCTGATAGGTCCAAGATTTTTTTGGTCATTTTGGGTGTTTTGGTGCTTTCTCACCTAGTCACTTGGATTTATGTGATGGCATACACTGACAACAGCACCAAGATCGACGCATGCTTTTGCGTCTCCAGAGATGTGGCTGTGGGTTTTTCACCCAGGATACCTTGGTTGACATACCTGGGAGGACCAGCGAAAGAAACGCGGACTAGGGCTCCAGGCGGGTGCCGTCATGGTCCGTTCTTCCCGGACATCAACTCTAAGGAAGGCTCCCTTCCTCTTTGGCTGCTCGGCGGTGCGACGGTTTCTGGAAGCCAAAGCCATCGAAGAAGCAGAGATCAAGGTGGATGGAGCTTTTAGACTAGAGCCTGGGCAGCCGTCTGAGGGTAAGTATTTATATGTACATGTGCAGTGGTATGTGCAGTGGTTTCCGAGGAATTAGGCACAAATTAAAGGACATGTTTCGGGTTTGTGCCATTTACTCTGAAAACACAGTATTCACATGTATTCACTGTATTCAAAAGATGTGGAACAGGTGTGGTCAGTCTGATTTCAGGAGTCACCTGAAATCTAAAGAGTGAGATGTTTTTTCTCCAAAACAGTGAGTGAGACAGAGCAAGTGAATCTTCAATCATCATGCAAGCCAAACTATCCAAGAGAAGACGTGCACTGTCCATGCAAAGCAAGAACCAAGTTACTACTCTTCCTCAGGGTAAAACGAACGGGAAACCGCGGTTCGCAGAAGGCCGTGTGAATACCGGGTTGTTTGGGTACCCCTTTGGTTTTGCATGGTTTTGCCTTTGATTTTAGTTGTTTCACATGTCTGAATTTCACCGTTGTGCTTTGGGAGACGTTTGCAGGAACGAATGGTGGTGTCTCCCCAGCTGCAGGGCCAAGGTATTGGCTCCTCAGCACTCAAAGTGGCGCTGGCAGAGGCGGATTTGGCCAAGAAGCCAGTGATGCTCACCACCAACGAGGTGCCGCGCGTTGTTTCGATATTCACAGTCCAAGAAGAACTTCCGAAAACCCTCCAACTTAACAGCTAACAGTTTGTCCATGATCTGACGTGAGGTCCACCAACCACTGTTTGTTTCAACCACTCGTGTGAAATAACCACTCGTCTCGGCGGACATACTTGTGACCCCAAAAAATATTAAGCACTCCTCCCGTCTATTCGTCGCTTTTTTTGCTGCTCTTCGGCGTCATGCCAGGAACGCAATGTGACCTTCTATCAGCGCTTGGGCTTCCAGGTCCTGCGAAGCGCCACTCGAAGCCTTGCTGGGGAGACCTACGAGGCGACCAAAGAGCACACTGAAGACTGCAACATGTATAACATGTAGTCTCAGGATGTACATGTTCAACAAGAGATTACAACCAATGATTCACCACTTTTACAAACCAGGTTGTCATCTTTATCATTTTTCTTAGTCATGCCTTGGTTGCTTTTGGCTTGGGTCTGCCCGGGGCGGCCCCACCTCCCTCAGGTTTGGGTCATGGTACGCCATCCTCCGGAGTAAGCAGCGCTGCCACGCTCACCGGCGCTGCGCTAGCAGGCAGAGTTGCCGATCCAGAGCTGTGCCAGCCTCGCCTGACTGGAAAAAGGAGTGCTGGGTTTGGCGCTGTAAGAGTGCCGGTGGGTTTGGCGCTGTAAGACTGCCATTAGGACATTAGGATGGCGCTGTAAGAGTGCAGGTGGGTATGGCGCTGTAAGAGTGCCATTAGGATGGCGCTGTAAGAGTGCCGGTGGGTTTGGCG